TGTATTTATAGTTAAATATTTTAACCAAGGTTGTAAGAGAGATCTAAAACTTTCATTAGTTTCAGATTAACACATTGTAGGTTATATATGAATTTTGAAACTAGGAAGGGAAATGATTTTCAAGTAACTCATACATTGGCTAATCAGGGATGAGAACATTGGGGCTTTTCTGTATTTTATTGTTCAGTATTGTACCACTGATGATCACATGTCCAAGACAAATGCCACAATGGGAAAATGAGCATGCATAGATATTATTTCCATTTGTTTTACAGTTTACAATGGCTGATGTAGGATCAAATAACAGACCAAAATAGACTTTGTGTAATCATTGTAAAAATAGTGTAATAAAAAATCTTGCTCCTAAAAGCTTTAATGGATTTTTTCAACAATGTGTAGCCAGCATATTTGGTTATACAAAAAAGAGAGCACCAACTAAAATTATCAACTTTACACAAAGCCAGATATATGAAAGGGGCTCTTTTTTAAAAAAACTTTATTTGAGAGAGGAATAGACTTGTATCAGAAGGCAAGAAAGGGAACATACAAACAGAATATATTTACAACACAAAACAAGAGATCATCTCAAGGGGGGTAGATTATAATAAATACAGTAAATTTAAAATGTAAGAGACATTTATCAATTAGAAATATGGTTATTTAACCTAGTTTTCCTTTTCACTGGTTCCAGGTAGTTTCTTGATTCTTTTCAGAGGCTATCAAATTTGAACAGAATTTAAAGTCCACTGGCTTTATTAGGGTAACTCTCCTGAAGGACACTATAAAAATATCTTTTGTTGTTTGTCATACATCTTTGAAATGATATTGTATAAAAGTCTGCATATTTGCATTTTCCTTCATAAATAAAATGTGTTTTTGAAGATTCACTATCCCTCTCTGGAGGCTGATATTAAGCTTTGTAGGAAATGAAATATATACAATATGAGAAAATACATAGTTTCACCTTCATATGCATCATATTGTTGAATGTACATATTATTTCCCCTCTTTGTATTTGTGGGGCAGGTAGAATATATTTAAGCAAAAGCATATACTGTCAATTAACAAATCTTTCCTATAAAAGCTGAAGTTAATGTTTCAGGAGGCCTTTCTTTACAGGAACTATTTAAGTCATGTAATTTGTTTGGAGACTTTTTAAGGGAAAGGATAATGTATCTTTATAAGCTGCAACATTTTGTAAGAGACTCTTATAATATTAGAGCAAAATATAAACACCACATACTAAAACATATATTAAAACAACTTCTACATTTGGCAAAACAGCTATCTCTTTTGAAACATTATACTGCACCTTAAAATACCTTAGCTGTAGAAATATAAATATTTTAATAGAAAAAAACCTGACAGAGACTCCAGGTCAGTTTTGGATTATCCATATTAAAGAGATCGTAATAAAATGAATCTTTAACTAGCTTAACAAAAGTCAACCTATAAAACAAGGTAAACATATCAAAAGGGAATATGAAGGAAATGTTTCACTGGAAAGCTTCCTTAACAATTTCCCTACTCGCTTTCTTATTTTCTTTGACAATAAATCAATTCATAGAGTGCCCTTTAAAAACAAAGTAAAACACTATCCATCCCCTCAATCCTTTCCCCTAGCCCCTTACATTCCTCCGTACATGAATCACTTGGACTTCCTGTTTCCATAAGGCATTTCCTGTTCACCCCCACAGAATCACTTTTCTGCAGGAGAACAGCAGGGACCTGACAAAGGACTGATTTAAATAAACAGGGTCTTCTACTGCAGTCAGAGTAGTTCAGATTTTACAGCTAAAAGAGACACCAGCATTCTGATATTTCAGTCTGCATATGTGCATTTATCATTTAGCAATTATTAACATACTCTTTATCAATTTAAATAATATTTTGCCACATTGGTGTCTTACATACTATGTCCTTAATTTAGCATTTCACTGAAAACCTAGTGATAAATATTATACAATTTTTATGATAGACTTTCTTAAAAATATTGACTCTCAGATGATAGTTCTGTTTTCACAATTATAGATATATCCTAGTATCTGACTGGAACATAATGTTGCATATCCTTCCTTGCCAATATCTGAATCTGTTTATTTGAGAATGGTTTTGAAGACAAAATAATCAATTAGGGTACGTCCACACTGCGTGGCTATTTCGGGATACCGGAGGTATCCCAAAATAGCTACCCTGTGTCTTAACAAGCCACTTGTTATTTTGAAATATTTTTCAAAATAACAAATGTGATATTTTGGCATCCCTGTAGCCCTTGTTCCACGAGGGTTAAGGGCTATCTCAAAATAGTGTGTTGTTTTGAAATTTGGTGCAGTGTAAATATGCCAAATTTCAAAATAAGGTATTTCAAAATAGAATCGAAATAAGATACACAATTTGCATAGTGCAAATTGCATATCTTATTTCGAGTTTAGGGTGCTGTGTAGACGCACCCTTAGGGAAGAATGAAAAATATGCAAGGTACAAAAGAAAAAAAAACTCTTTGAATAGGGCCTTGCTGTGTATGATTGCATCCACCTTGAATTCCCAATATTTCCATAATCATACCCTATATACAAACCTAGGACCCTGGCATTGCAACCAGTATCTGCCTAATGAGGAAATTAAACATACTCTCAACAGTGTTCAAGACTACAGTATGATACATTATATACATATAGGTAGTAAAAGGAAAAGTCAAGACATCAGAAGAATTCAAAAACAGGAAAAAAATGTTTCATTGATCAGTTCTGGAAACTGACTCCAGCAACTACTGATCTCAACAAATTAGTTTAACAACAGTGAGTTTTATTTCCCTAGAGCTAGCTGATGTAACAGACTCCAGAGGTAAACCAAGCATTATGCACTGACTTATATAGAATAATTGACTGCAGCAGGTATTTTCCCGGTAAGTGGCCTTTAAAATGAGCATTACTATGTTTTAAGAGTGCACACAAATGCACCCACCTTTGCTAGATTCTCTGAACCCTGCATGAAATTAGCTAGATCCATGAATCAAAAGACAGTCAAACTTGAATAATCAACCCCTAAAAATGCATTTGATGTTCAAATAATAACTTTAATTACAAATCCTGGAGCTAAATCTTTGCCTATTACCTGTTGCATAAAAGCAGCCTGCTCCCCAGATTCCATTTGCTGGGTTTGATTATCTTCATCAGTGTCCAGTGGCTCCTCTTTCACTTTCACAGTCCCCGCATGCTGTCCTAATCTGTCATCCACACAAACGCTGCAGCTGTCATCCCTAGTGCTGTTACCACTAGAGGGAGCTCTTTCTTCCTGCATAGCATGATCTCCCTGAAGCTCTTCTTCAGCTTCTTCTAGATGATTGCCAGGCTGCTTTAGCTGTTCAATGGATTTAGAGAGCATCTGAGAGAGAGGGAGAGGGAGAGACAGAGATAGATAGAGAGAGAGAGAGAGATGAAATTTCCTGCCAATATTTTTCCACAGATGCCACATACTAAAGAATACTATATTTTGCACTAACAACTGAGTCAAAACTTTCCTGGTCAAATTACTTAATGCTGCAGTTTTGTAACAGAAGTTTATCAGAATGAATAATGTAAGTTCCTCAGAAACAGGACTCTGTCCTCAGTCTGTTTAGATGGTATGTACAAATATAGCATTTTATAGTAATATTACATTTAAATTCATACCAATATAGCAACACATTTAATAGGCATGTCTATAAATACTTACATATAGATATGATTAAAAATAAGAGATTCTCCTTAAAATATTTTAGCAATCAAGCATAAATGTATTTATAGTCAAATATATTACTTAAAGGGCAGAGTATTTTACAAAACACAGTGTGCATTGAATTTCTAACCAGCTTAACATAATTACGAATAGACAAAAGTATAAAAAGGGAAGAATTAGGTAATTAAAAGCATTTTTCCAAATCTCCCCGCTCATTTTGCATGGACAGCTTGTAAATAATGGAAGGCTGAAAACAGAGTTTCTGTGATATTCAAAATTTCAGCAGCTGAAAGGTTAATATATTTTTTCTATCTAACTAATTTAGTCTGCACCTGTGCAACTAAATTTTGTGGTAAACATTTCCCCATTTATCTTCAGAAGATAGCATAGAAACTTCTGCTTTTGTTAGATTCTGTGCTTTGCTGGGTTTCCCTCTTTCTTGACTGATAGAGGTATGCCAGTTTTCATGAGGGAAGGCTCTAGTGTACTTATTTTAAGTGGCAGTTAATATTTTAACAAAAAAGATCTGCTAAAAGCTATTAGTATTAAAATACCTTTCTGGATAATAGAAAGAAAAGATCATGATTTGCTTTAACTCATAAGTATCCACATTGAAGCTGCCTAATTGATAAAAAGGGCATTTTATTCAGGTCAAAAAGTAATTTGCAATTTTACAAAATCTAATACAGGCCAAATCTTGGGTGAACCTGGTGCAAATCTCTACAGAAAAGTGCCTATTAAACGGGAAGAGGAGGTAGTCCAAGAAGGTGTCTACCAACACTGTGGGTATGTCTAGACTACAGGCTTTTGTCATCAGAGACTACAAAGCTTCTGTTGACAAAGAGCGTCTAGACTACATCCAGTTCTGTCAACAAAGCAAGCCGCTTTGTCAACATGTAAGTGTAGTCGCAAAGGACAGTGTAGATGCAATAACGCCTTCTGTCGACAGAACTCTGTCGACAAAAGGTTTATTCCTCATAGAATGAGGTTTACTGCCGTCGACAAAACTGCCGAGTTCTGTTGACGTTATGTCGACAGAACTCGGTGGTAGTGTAGATGCAGGTATAGTTTTGTTGACAAAAGTCCACTTTTGTCAACAAAACCCTGTAGTCTAGACAAATCCATAGAGAATCAATGAAGTCAATCAATAGAGAATGTGAATAGCACTGGCTGAGATATCTACTTTGACCCAGATCCACAAAGGCAGTTAGGCACCCAAATCCCAGACTTAGGGGCCCAAATACTAGTTTTAGGCACCCTTGTGTTCCACAAAAGGCTGCCTAACCTTCATGGGTCACTGTGGGTATGTCTATACTACAGTATTTTTGGAAAAATGGCTGTTTTTCTGAAAAAACTTCAATTACGTCCACACTGCAATTGCATTCTTCCAAAAGAAAATCGAAAGAACAGAGGGGCTTTTTTGACATTGGTAATTCTTATTCTGCAAGGAAGAAGCCTTGAAAATAAGCTTTTGAAATAACATAGTCCGCGTCTACACAGCAGACAGTTATTTTGAAATAATGTAGAAATACTGTCAAACTGGAGCTCGGCTACGTCTACACTGGCATGATTTTCCGAAAATGCTTTTAACGGAAAAGTTTTCAGTTAAAAGCATTTTTGGAAAAGCACGTCTAGATTGGCAAGATGCTTTTCCGCAAAAGCGCTTTTTGCGGAAAAGCGTCCGTGGCCAATCTAGACGCAGTTTTCCGCAAAAAAAACCACCCCCCCCCCTTCTCCTTA